TCCCTATCCCAAGAAATACGAACAACTCGGAGACTGACTTGTTCATCCCTTGCATGTTATAGTTCAATACAAAGCTCTTGTAGCTAGGTGGTAGCGATTGAAGAACTCTGTCAGTGACGGCCTCTGGCGAGAGCTCAACTCCCAACTTAGCCAGACGGTTGTAATACCCAGACATTCTAAGTATGTGCTCACTGATAGAACCGTTCTCCTCCATCTTGCAAGCATAGAACTTATCGGAGGTCTCATGCCTCTCGATCCGGACATTCTTCTCAAAGATAAACTTCAACTCCTGGAATATCTCATATGCGCCATGACATTCAAAATGCCTTTGAAGTCCCGGCTCTGAGCCATACAACATGGCGCACTGAACTATTGAGTAGTCATCAACACGCGACTGCCAGGCGTTCACAACGTCCGTAGTAGCTGGAGGGGGTGGCGCACCAAGCGGTGCATCAAGGACATAAGACTTTTGGGCAGCCATGAGGATAACCCTCAAATTACGGGCCCAGTCCAAAAAGTTACTTCCATCATCTTTCAGCTTAGCTTTCTCTAGGAACGCATTGAAATTCAGGGGAGCTACTGCACGAGCCGTTGATCTACAACACAAATTTGAAAAGATAACTTGGACTATTGTTCAAGATAATGAGTTCAATTAATCATATTACCTAAGAACTCCCACTCAAATTGACATCCCTCTAGTCGTCCGAGTGTAACATAATCCAAATTAACCAACTTGAGTCCGTTCATCACGTGAGATGAGGTGGTTTCAATGGTGCACATCTCCATGTTGATCATATCTACTATATGACTCATGTTCGACCTTTCGGTCTCTTGTGTTTCCGAGGCCATGTCTGTACATGCTAGGCTCATCAAGTTTAACCCAAGTGTTCCGCATGTGCAAAACTGGCTTGCAACCGTTGTATGCGATCATCATGTGGTGCTTCAAAACGACGAACTTTCGCAACGTTGCACACTTGGGGAGAACACAAATTTATCTTGAAATTTTAGTGAGGGATCACCTTATAATGCTACCATCGTCCTAAGCAAAATAAGATGCGTAAAAGGATTAACATCACATGCAAATCATAAGTGACATGATATGGCCATCATCTTGTGCTTTTGATCTCCATCTTCAAAGCACCGGCATGATCTCCATCGTCACCGACATGACACCATGATCTCCATCATCATGATCTCCATCGTCGTGTCGCTATCGGGGTTGTCACGCCAACCATGCTTCTACAACTATTGCTACCTCTTAGCGATAAAGTAAAGCATTACATAGCGCTTAATGATTGACACGCAGGTCATACAATAATTAAAGACAACCCTATGGCTCCTGCCGGTTGCCGTACGCATCGACATGCAAGTCGAAATAAACTATTTACAAACATGATCATCTGATACATCGAATATATTTCAATCATGTCTTTGGCCATATCATATCACAACATACCCTGCAAAAACAACTTAGATGTCCTCTAATTTGTTGTTGCATGTTTTACTGGCTGCTATGGGTATCTAGCAAGAACGATTCTTACCTACGCAAAACCACAACGGTGATATGCAAGTTGCTACTTAACCTTCTACAAGGACCGCCTTTGTCGAATTCAATTCAACTAAGGTGGGAGAGACAGACACCCGCTGGCCATCTTATGCAACAAAATTACATGTCAATCGATGGAACCGGTCTCATGTACGTGGACATGTAAAGTTGGTCTGGGCCGCTTCATCCCACAATATCGTTGAATCAAGAAAAGACCAAGGAAGCAATATGAATATCAACGCCCACAAACTCCTTTGTGTTCTACTCGTGATGCCATCTACGCATAGACCTAGCTCATGATGCCACTGTTGGGGAACGTTGCATGGGAAACAAAAAAATTCCTACGCTCACCAAGATCAATCTAGGAGATGACCATCTACGAGAGGAGAGATTAGATCTACATACCCTTGTCGATCGCTAAGCGCAAGCATTAAGAAACATGGTTGATGTAGTAGGACGTCTTCGCGATCCAGTCATGATCCGTCCTGCGAACTCACGATCTAGCGCTGAACGGACGACACCTCCGTGTTCAACATGCTGGAATTTTGTCTATTTTGGGCCTAGCCCAATAGCAGTTTCAGAAATTCCTAATAAATCCTAGAGGCCCACGCAGCCCATTCGTGCAAGGCAAGAGGTGGAACTAAATTTTACTCCCATGTTGCTAGTTTAGAGGGAGTTGAACCTCTTTATAAGGGAGGTTCTTTCCCCACTTGTATGAGCATGAGAACAACAGGGACATCCACGCGCGCTCCTCCTCCGCCGCCCGCCTCGCCACGTCATGCCACGCCTCGTCACGACGTGCCGCAGGTTGCGGGAATGAGTCGAGCCGGTGTCTAAATTTTTGCCACGCACTACGGGTATACGAAAGGTCACTCGGGAGCTGGAAAGTTTTTGCTGTAGTGGATATTGAATACAAATGATGTTGCCTGTTCATTTCGTCTCCCATGTTCCCTTCAGCTCCTGGCGCAACCTCTCACCTACTTCTCTTGCACCTATAAAAGGGAGGTCGCTCCTCTCAGAGAGATGCACCAGAACTACTTCTTCCTCTCGCCACCGGTTCCTCAGCACTGCGCTGCTGCTACGATCTTCCTCATCCCGGCTTGGGGCGTGCACCGCAGGTCGGGACAGCAGGCCTCCGAAACCGCACCTCTTTGAGTCCTGTACGGGAGAAGGGTAATAAAGTTTTTGGGGAGCGCTCTGTGCGACTATTGGTCGATTCATCACGGACACCGACGACCACTTCCCCAACGACGATTTCTTCCCCGACGTCGACAACCTCTTCGACGACATGGCTACAGAGGATGTCGACCCCAAGTCCAGTGCTTCTGCTCCTGCTGTTGTCCCGTACGTGTTCTTGTTTTTCCTGTTAGAGGTCCTATCACAGTTCCTTGTTCTAGTGTTTGCCCTAGATATGTTAGGCTCTACTTCATATATGCAACTTGCTCTACTGTCTGCTCTAGAGATGTTCGGTTCTAGTTCATATGTGCAGACGCTATTTACCTTCTCTCTATCATATCGCATGACTTGTTTTATCTCTACTATTTTAGTCATGCTTTATCTAGTATTTTCGTTAATAAAATCATATGGTAAATTGCTCATATTTCCAACAATCCAAAAACCTTATGATAGACAATTTACCCCAAGTGGTTTTGCTGCTTCCATGAGACCTCCTATGTTTGAGGGTATCCACTATAAGAGGTGGAGCGTGAGAGCAGTCTTATGGTTTCAAACCATGAGTTGCTATGACGCCACTCTTGGCAAACCTGAAGGAGAGCATGATGCTCAACATGCACAAGCTTTTCAGAAAATGGATACCTTGTTTAAGGCTGCTCTCTTGAGTGTTCTTGGTGAGAACATAGTTGATGCTTATGTGTCAATTGATAATGGAAAAAGATATGTGGGACGCACTCGAGGCCAAGTTTGGGGTCTCGGATGCTGGCACTGAACTGTACATCATGGAGAAATTATATGACTACAGGATGGCTGAAGAGCGCTCCGTGGATGAGCAAGCTCATGAGATACAGTCATTTGCTAGAGAACTTGAGCACTTCAACTGTATCCTACCGGACAAGTTTATTTCCGGAGGTATCATCACTAAGCTTCCTCCCACTTGAGGAGCTTTGCTACCTTACTGAAGCAT